GGTCTTTGGTGGGAAGGTGCTGGGGGAAGTGTTTATGCCTCGGCCTGACGGGGGCAGAGTGTGGCAGCTAGGTTGTGGGCTTTACTGATTGCAGCTTGAAGCACTGAGACCACAAGGAATTCTATTTTGGTTTGGAGGCAGGCGCCTTAAAGTGAAAAGGATCTGTCCTTGAATTTGCATTTCTGTGTGCCTCATGACTTCTTCCCAGTGTCAGTAAAATGAGTGTTCGTTATTTTGGGGGCAGGGGTTATGTCAGACCTGGAGGCACTGTCCCCGCTTGGTCTTAAGAGCTTCTGGGGGTTCACAGTGGGCTGTTCCGGCCACAGCGCGTTCTGAGCAGCCCTGTGTCGTGGTGCTGTTTGTGGTCACTTACGTAAGAACTGAATTTTAATGCCGAGGCTATGGTATAATTTTCCTAAAAGGACTGGAATATATGTCCCTTTGATAAGACAGCACCCAATTTAGCCACCCAGAAGCTAGGAAAACAGAATCAGAGCCTCATGCACCAGGGAGGTAAAGCCCAAAAGACAGTGGCATTTTGGTACCAGCTGTTACAGAAAGCAGACTTGGCTGAGCTGAGCTAGACCATCTCTTGCCCTGCCACATGTACTTTGGATGGAGAAAAATATAAGCTCTTCCAAGCTCTTTCTACCGTTAATACAGTCTGGATACCACGTATTTCTGTAGCATTGTGCTGAGGGGCCAGGGCAAGGATGGCAGTGTCCCCAGTGCCCAGCCCAGCAGTGTCATGATGACTGTGTTGTTATGAAACAGACTCGACAGAGCTGGAAAAGGCCTTCAAGACCAGCTAGTCCACCTCCTCCTTCCTGTGGATGAGGAACCTGAGGTCCAGAAAACCCAAGTGTGTTAGGCAGTTTTGTTTTTTTGTTTTTGCTGAGGAAGAGTTGCCCTGAGCTAACATCTGTTACCAGTTCTCCTCTTTTTGCTTGAGGAAAATTCGCCCATCTTCATCCTTCATTGGAGTGAGAGCTAACTGAAGAGGAGAGAACCACACAGGGTTGTCGGGAGAACTGGTGGGGAGGGTCAGGCAGCTACAGGCCTGGCCCCCAGAGCACTGAGAAGATGGTAGTTTCTCTGCCCTTCCCTCCACAAGTCTCGCCTCCCCTTGACCCTTCTGCTCTGTATTCATTTGGGACATTTTGAAGGGCTGTGGTCCGAGCACTATGCTGCCTAGTTGTAGCTTTCCTGATGTGGTCGAGAAAGACCAACATCCCACGCAGGGTGTGGGCAGAGAAGAAACCCCTCATTGCTGTTGAAATCCGAAGTGACAACATGGTGCTCAAAAACAGCCTTCCATATGGGGCTGGCTCCGTGGCCGAGTGGTTAAGTTTGCGCGCTCCGCTGCGGCGGCCCAGGGTTCGATCCTGGGCGCGGACATGGCACCGCTCGTCGGGCCACGTTGAGGTGGCATCCCACATCCCACAGCTAGAAGGGCCTGCAACTAAGATATACAACTATGTATGGGGGGTTTGGGAAGATGAAGCAGAAAAAAAAAAAAAAATGAAGATTGGCAACAGTTGTTAGCCCAGGTGCCAATCTTTAAAAAAAAAAAAAAAAAACAGCCTTCCATAGATTCTGAGGATGGACGGGAGACTCGGCAGGGCGGCCGGGCTGTGTTCGGGAAATTGCCTGCTTCGATTGGCCTTCTCCTGCCATTCGATGACAGAAACAACTGAGAGGCCTGCTCAGGGCTCGCAGCTTCCCTGCCACGAAGCGGTGTCTTCACTGACCAGTTACGTGCAAAGTAACATTTGAGCGTCTTCGTTGTTTGTAATGTGGGGGGGTCTTCTGTTATGTTTCATTAATCACTTTTGTTATGTAAGCCCATTTCCTTTTCCTTGTAATGTTTATTCACATTAATAGCACTTACATAAATTAGATACTCCTTATTTCCACGAAGTGCAAATCAAAATAAGCATTCACTGCTGGCCCAGCAGCTGCTGCCGCTTTAATAATAGTAATATTTTTCATAACAAAGCAAGTAGAGTGCACGGCCTCCCAGTAAATAAAATGGTGCCAAGTCAGATCATGCTGTCACTGTCCCAAGGCTTCTGCATTTTGCTTATAAGAGTTTGAACAGATTCGGCATCCTCAAACACTACAGTTAAGCCCCTGCTCTATTCTGGCCCCACCCACATCTCACTTAATTTAATTGTTCCAGCAGCTTGTGGGGAGGGTCCCCTTTTCCCACTTTACAGACAATGAGCTATGCTTAGAGGGGATTCGGCCCCATCTGTGCTCTTTCCCCCTCAGACTCATCCTCAAGAAAAAATGCTTTGTACTGTGAATGTAATGCTAATGAGCTAGAACAATCAGGAAATAGGCTTCAGCTGAAGCATGAGATATTTAGGCTAGAGTTGAATAAGAACTTCCTGGCATGGTATTAATTTTTCCCCTCTAATTTTAGGATAATTTTGTCATGGACTAGCTATTCAGCTAGATTATGTACTTACTCATGTTCATACATGTCTCTACTTTTAGTAGATTGTAAGTACCTCAGGTCCAGGGATCCCCCCCGCCTTTTTTAAACCTAGTTGGCACTCAGAAGTTTGACTGAAATAATGAAGGTTGTAGTGAAACTGCATTCAATTTGTAATTGTTGAGGGCAGGTCTGGTAAAGGTTTTCCAAATACTGCTGTCTGTTTTTCTACACTTCAGTTATATGCCTACTGACTGCATAGAGCAATTGGAAAAGTCCTTAATTACTGAATTTCCAGAAGGTCATGCCACAGATTCATGGCAGACCTGGATGCCCAGCCAAATTCTCTGTCTGTCCTTCTGGTGTCTGCAGCCTGCAGTCTGTCTCTGGGTTAGTATGTCAGGAACAGTGATCACTCTCACTTTTTTTTTTTTTGAGGTAACATTGGTTTTTAATATTATCTAAATTTCGTGTGTATGTTATTATGTTTTGATTTCTGTATAGACTACACATCACATTCACCACTGAAATTCTAGTTGCCATCCGTCACCATACACATGTGCCCCTTTACCCCTTTTGTCCTCCATGCCCATTGACAAATAGATAAAGGAGGTGTGGTGTGTGTATATACACACACACACACACACACACACAGACAATGGAATACTACTCAGCTGTAAAAAAGATGAAATCTTGCTATTTGTGGCACCGTGGATGGACTGTGAGGGTATTACGCTAAGTGAAGTAAGTCAGACGGAGACAAATGCTGTATGATGTCAGTTCTCACCTTTTTTTTGGGGGGGAAGATTAGCCCTGAGCTAACTGCTGCCAGTCCTCCTCTTTTTGCTGAGAAAGACTGGCCCTGAGCTAACATCCATGCCCATCTTCCTTTACTTTATATGTGGGACGCCTGCCACAGCATGGCTTGCCAAGCGGTGCCATGTCTGCACCCAGGATTCAAACCGGTGAACCCCGGGCCACCAAAGTGGAACGTGTGCGCTTAACCACTGCACCACCGGGCTGGCCCCACCTCTCACTTTTTGAGTGCCAGCTCCATGCTGAGTACTTCACATACAGTTATTTCTAACCGTCATGTCACCAGCTAGTACATGATGGAGCCAGGAAGCAAACCTGGGTCTGTCAGGCTCCATGGCCCACATTCCCCCCGCCCCCCGCCAGCCAGCATTACTTGGTTGTGCTTTAGCTGCAAAGTGCAAGGGAACGGCAGAGAGTCAGGTTATCGTTGACTTTCTTAGCAGAGACAGACATAAGTGTACACACACAAACAAGATGCACGTCTGCCTGTGGAAAAGGAAAGCATCTTTCCCTCCTGATTTGTTTCCTTCTGGTGGGAGCCATTTAAATTTAGATAGTTTACATTCCATTGCTGGAGCAGCCAGTTCATGGTGTGGGTGGTATTGGAGGGATTAATGAGAGAATTGGTATTTTCAAAAAGAGTTGACCTCTCTGATTTTTCTTTATAAGTGGCCAGTAGTGAGTCATGATTTTATGAGCAGTTGTGCCCTGGGTTTCTCCCCAGCATTTTTGTGTTCTTTTTTTTTGTTTTTAATAAAGATTGGCTCCTGAGCTAACAACTGTTGCCAGTCTTCTTTTTTTTTTTTTTCTGCTTTATCTCCCCGAAGCGCCCCTTACATAGTTGTATATCTTAGTTGCAGGTCCTTCTAGTTGTGGCATGTGGGACGCTGCCTCAACGTGGCCTGATGAGCAGTACCATGTCCACGCCCAGGATCCGAACCAGTGAAACCCTGGGCTGCTGCAGTAGAGCACGCAAACTTAACCACTCGGCCACGGGGCCGGCCCCATTTTTGTGTTCTTGTAACACTTCACCAAGTGCTTTCGTTATGTCTTGTCTCATTTCATCAACACAGCACTTTGTTAGGCAACAAAGCCACCATTTCCTCATTGGACAGATGAGGAAACTGAGGCTCAGAAAATTAAAATGACTCGTCAAAGGTCACAAGACTGAAAAAGTAGCGCACTGAGGCCTGAGGTTGGTTCTGCCTTCCAGTCTCAAGTGGTGTGTCCCCGCCCATGCCCCCAATAGCTCAGCGTCTGAAAGACACACCTCCAGATGTTTTGTCAAGTAATTTTTAACTTAAAGACTACTTTTTGAATAAAGAAAATATGGACTGTATTATGGATAATTTTGTAATACTTTGCATAGTTAGATTTCCCCTATACACATACACGTTTTGAGGTCTCTTTTTTCCCTAGTAGCCCAGTCCTCCAGGTGGTTTTTACTTTGGGGATGTTTCTGTTTTAGTTTATTGATTTGTTTTTAACTTTTACCCATCTATATACAGAAGTAGGAAGACCACTATGAATCTCCACATCCCTGTCACCCAGCCTCAATAGTGATCTCTTTTGGCCCGTCTTGTTTTCATCTCTACCCGCACCCCTGAGTTTTTTTTTTCCTGCATTTTGCCCCAAATCCCCCCAGTACATAGTTGTATATTTTAGTTGCAGGTCCTTCTAGTTATGGCATGTGGGACGCCACCTCAGCATGGCCTGAGGAGCAGTGCCATGTCCACGTCCAGCATCCAAACCAGTGAAACCCTGGGCTGTTGAAGTGGAGCATGTGAACTTAACCACTCGGCCACGGGGCTGGCCCCCCTGATTTTTTGAAGCAGTCCTAGGTATTGTTTCATTTCATCCATAAATATTTTAGTATGTATCTCTAAAAGATAAAGACTTGAAAAAAGAAAAACTGAACTGCATTATGATTATCACACCTGAAAAAAATGAATGTTTCCCTCAATATTATTAAGTATTCAGTGTTGAAATTTCCCCAGTGGTCGTCTTCTTTTTTTTTTAATGGTTCAAATCAGGATTCAAATGAGATCCATATGTTGAAATAGACTGATGTATCTTTAAAATTAATTTATGGGTACCCCCCCTTTTTTTTTCCTTGCAATTTATTTGGTGAAGTGGGTGGTTTGTCCCATAGAGTTTTCCAGTCTGGATAGTACTGATTGCATCTCTCTGGTGTCATTTAACATGTGCTACTATCTATTCTTGACATACTTTTGTTCCTAATGATTTTTCATTTTGGAGAATAAAAGGAATTTATTTTCTTTATTAGAAAACGAGGAAAAGCATAAAAAAGAAAATTTAAAAGTCATCCATAATCCCACCAGCTAGAGATAGCCACTGCTGTCACTTCAGGTTTATCTTCCAGATTTATCTGGTCCTGCTTAGTTTCATTTAATACATCATGAGTTTTCCTCATACCATTAAAAAGTCTTCAGTAACAGTTTATGAGGCGTGTCATTGTGTTAATGATACTTCCCTCCTTCCCTTAAGTTGCCCCCAGCTGAGGAGTTTGTTTTAAATAGTTGGCTCAGCAGTTGCCCCAGAGGAGGACCCGTTGTTGCAAACAGAGCAGTGAATATTTGTATGCATCTGTCATTATCTGCACTGCTGCTGATAGATTCCTAGAAGTAGGTTTATTGGGTCAAAAGCCAGGTCTCTTGGTAAATTTCTGATACAGTTGTCATATTGCCAGAGTCCCCTAGAATGGTAATCTGTGGCACGTTCCACCCCAGCCCTGGGCAGCCTCTGAAAGCTTTTCTTCACACAAGCACAGCTTTGAATGAGGCCTTGACTTAAAAGTTCCTTCAAAGCAAAAAATTAGACTTTGAGTCTGCTGGTTCCCCCATTGATGCGTTTGTGCACTAGACGATATTGTGAGTAGTGAAGGAAAAAAGGAGCATCGTGAGTGTTTTCACACCGTCTGCTTAGCAACCGTCTGCTTAGCAGCGTCGAGAGCCGAGAGCCGATGTCATCCCAGTGTCATGGGGAACTGGGCAGCCCTGCCTTGTGAGCCCTCCAGCCCCTGGGTGGTGACCTCTCTGCCCCATACAGTCTCTGAGGGAGTTTCTGCTTCCTGTGGAAATAGGTTCGATAAGGCCTCTGCCTCATGGGTTCAGGAATAAAGAAATAGCATTCACTCTGAAAAGAGGGACTAGCTAGAAGACCTGACGTGGCGTCTGACTCCTAGTCAGAGTGTCACCTGGCCTCAGGTAGCTCCTCCTCTTTCTCCCTTGCTGCCTGGACAGTTTCACTTCCCTTTTTTAACTCCAGGGGACATTTCTCCCGCTGAGAAACTCCTTTGGGTTAGTATCTTTTGCGGACCCAAGTATTGTCACACTATTCACCCGTGGTTGTGAATTCGTTAGTTGGGTTGTTTCCTGCTTAACACTTGGCTGAGAAGACGGGAGGGGAGATGTTTTGGAGAGGGGGCGCCTCTCCAAGTCAGGTGCGCGCTGGGGCCAGGGGTTTGGGAGCAACCTGAGGGAAGGCGAAGCAACGGAGGAGAAGGTGCAAAAGCCACATTAAGTTGTCTTTGCTGAGAGTTGGCACAGTGTTTTTAGAAGCCAAGTTGTGTTTCAGATGTCCTGGAGTTGGCTCTTGGCTAGGGATCCCCATCACTTTGTCATGTGAATTTGTTACATTATGAATTTCTAAGGAGGTTTTCCTGGGCCAGCCTGGTGGTGTTAATTTCTCAGTTCCAAAGGTTTCAGAGAGGCCGGTTCTTAAGTCAGAGACTGCCTCTGAAGATGTTGGGCCTCTGCTTCCCCAGGGAATCCAAGCAGTGGCTTTCTGGAACATTTTTCCTGTGAGATTTCAGCTTAGAGTGGCCTTCTCTAAGTCAAGGTTGACTCTTGGTGGAATGTGCTAGGTTCCATGCTGAGTACTTTACATGTGGTATCTTATGGACTCTTGAGAACATCTGGAAAGTAAACAGTATTAACTTCATTTTACAGATGAGAACATTGAGCATAGAACGATACAGTGACTTGAGCCAGCGATGCAGTCAGTGGGGAAGCTGGAGTTTGTGTCTCGAAGGCTCACGGTCTTTCCCTCATTGGTGTCATCCTTGCCCGTTTGGTACCCTTCTTCATTCTTCTTGTCCCTTTAAGACTTCCTCTCAGGGTCCCAGGACATTCTCCTCCCCACCCCACCGTGATTGCCCTGTATCTCCTTACCAAAGTGTGCTTTCAGCGAACTCTCCTGGAAGAAAATGTCACCACTGATTCACTTACAGGTATTAATGCCTGCTGAGGCGTGCAGCAGCTCGTGCCTCCCGGAGCTGTGTGCACGTCTGACAGTGCACGATGCCCTGAGCCAGCAGAAGGGTGGGCTTCCAGGCATTGTGAGGAAGCAGCTGGGAGGTCCTTTAGGTATTGAGCATGGGGATCCGCTCACATCTTACAGCGTGGTTGGCTGTCGCTCCCCACCCAGCCCTTAGAAACAATTCTAAGTTAAAGATATTGCATAATTTAATCTTTGCCTCAGCCTTAGGAGGTAAATTCTCAGGCCCCTGTTTTACAGATAGTGGAAGCCGCCCCAGAGAGGTGCCAAGCTCTTGACATATTTTATCAGTTGACTGTCAGCAAATCTCTGATGTAAGTAATACTTGAATTTTCAGATGAGGCTTGGTGGTTGGCAGTTTCCTGGCTCAGGTTATGCACTGCTGGAGGGAGAGAACCAAAGTTCAGACCTTAGTGTCATCTGTCTGCCTCCCAAGTCTCCAGGTCTCTGCTCTTAACTGCTGCTGCTTCACTTCTTACCCAAGACCCCACAGCACTGCCCGGCCAAGTCTGCTCACGGTGCCAGACACCGTGGGCGCTTCACTGGGGCTAACTCTCCCCAGCATGAGTAATGGACAGGAACTTGACATTGTGACACTTGAATCATACATCCATTTTGGGGAGCAGGGTGGCCTTCCTGGTGCTCTGTGCCTGCGCCTACCCAGGCCCGCGGGGGTGGTGGGCATGCTGTGCTCTGGAGCTGTCTGTTGAGAGGTTAGTGTCAAATTCACTTCCTGCCATAAGACATCATGTCAGTTGACTGAGTTTGATCTATTAGCACCCCCACAACCATGTGGCATTACTAAATCACTAAATATTGGTTGAAAAAAACACTCTCTGTAACCCCCCCCACAAAAACAACCAACAAACCTAGTGTTTTACTAGAATGCCTCCTGGAAAAGTTTCAGCATCCATTGCAATGATTGAGCAGTCTTAAGAAGCATTCAGGAGTCATTATAATATTAAAATAGCCACAATTTAGTAAGCTTTCTTTCGGAGCCTAGTGCTATGGTAAGTTCTGTATGTAAATATTTCTAATCCTTAAAACAGCTTTGCAAGAGTCTCCATTTTATAGGGAGAGAATAGATGCTTAGACAGGATCGGTCAATGCCCACATTGCCCAGGTGGTCTACAGTAAAGCTAAGTTTCAAACCAGGCCTCTTCAACTCCTCAAGGTCACACCACCACCTTAGGCGTGATAGCCTATTTAAAAAAAAAGGAGACACGGAATGAAAATTTTTAAATTCATAGTTTAAAGATATGTAAACGTTTTATGCATTGAGTACAAGAGTCTGAATAACACAAATATTAGTAATTGAGTATTTAATTTCTGCTCATGCCCTTTTCCCTAGAAACGTTACAGTGTGAAGGGAGAAAGGTTTGCCCTGCGCCTGGCATAAATTGTTACCCAGGGTGAGTTAATGTATGTTTGTTTCTGAAGCGGCAGTGGTTGCTTCCTGAGGGCCTCACCTTGTCTGACTCTCTCGTAGGATAAATTACTGTGTTAGTCTGTCTCGTAGGTCTCAGAGGAGACCGGGTGATTTTTCATTCCCTCCGAACTTCCCCTTTGCCTTGCAGCTACCCGTTCTTTCTCACGACTGTGCGATGCTTGGAAAACAGTGGCTTATTTGGGGTCACTCCCTTCTCCAGCCCCTCCAGTCAGCCTTTGCTTCACGTAGAGCCCACTCTGTTGGAAGGTTGGTTCTCAGCCTGTCGCATCACTGTTTTGAGGATGGGACTTCATCTTACTCATTTGTTCATCTCCAAAGCCTGGGAGCCAGTAGAATGGACCCCATTTGAATGAACAAATGAATACACTCAGGCATGCACACCCATGCACGCGCACCCATGCACACGCACCCTGGGGGGCCTTGAGGAATTTTAGGCAAAGGTGAACCTGGCTCTTCGTGTGGAAGAATTGAGGGTAAGGAGAGTCTGGGAGGAGTACTGTCTGTAGGACTGACCAGGAAGGGAACAGGGAGGAATTTCAGGGCTTGTAAGAGTTCAAGGGAAGTAATGTAATCTTAGCATTTTAGAGCCAGAAGGAGCCTTCCAGGTCATGGAGGTCAGCCACCTCATTTTCCAGATCAGTGAGGTTTCTCAGCAGCCCTGAGTTTGCAGCCACTGCCCACTTCAGGGCACAGAACCAGACAGATCTCTTTCAATTAGTGCTTTTATTGACTTAAACACTTACAGATCATTGCATTGTTTTGTGTTTTAAGTAATTGATTTCGTTTTGTGTTTGAGCCCTGGGATGGTTTTGTCAGGAAGGAAGAACAATTTAAAAAATTCCAGGAACTAATCAAATAGAACACTGCCTTCAAGTGGAAGAGAATTGCCCCATGCTGAATCTTGTGATAGCCAGGCTTGCCCTCTCTGTTCCTTCCTCTTCTCCACTTCCCCTTCTTACATTCTGTTCTCTCCCCTTTGCTCTAGTCAAGATTCCTTGTAAATTTGCTGACTCCTAAGACTTGCTCTCCACAAAAACCTAAATTATCTGTCCACGTCTTTTCTACAGCATGATCCTTTCACAACTGAAAAGGCCCCCAGCATCTCACATGCATCTGGCACCTCACAGTTTACGGACAATTTCTGTGTATGTTACTTTACTCTGTGAGGTATTGATGAAGAAATGACAGCTCAGAGAAGTTAACTTGCTTCAGATTTCACAGGGGCTGAGTGCTGATTACATGTTGATTTCTGGGGTGATGACTCTCCTGTGCGTGGCTTTGTCCATTACAAAGACCCCATTTTTCCTTTAAAAGTCTCCCTGAGGAAGAGTGCTCTACTTATGTGTGTTAAGCCTACCTAGAATTCCTTGAACTTGAAGGTTACTTGCTCTCTCTCCTCCCTCCTCCATCCTCCCTCTCCCCTGACTGCTGTGCTGCGTGGTGGGGGAATAAGGTGCCCCTTCGTCCTCGGTGTTCTGTTCACTGCCCCCACGCTGCGAGTCTGATTGTCAGGGAGTTTAATTGTCAGGCCGGCAGCCGCATTTCTGGACCAAGTGCTCAGCAGGAAGAGCCCAGTAGCAACTGACTTGGGGGAAATTGCCATGGAGGTCTGTGATCTCTTGGAGCCCCAAGTTGGTCAGAGCAGCAGCAGGATGTCAGCACTGGTGTGACAGGGAAGTGGTGATTGTCTTCACTTTGCAGCCAAGGAAACCCGGGCTTAGAGATGTCGTGCAGTTGGAAGGTGACGGAACCAAGGCCGCCGCTACCCAGCATGTACATTTTCCACCACACCCCACTGCGTGCTTTTAATAGCAGGAAGGAAAAGTTCTGCGCAGATGTACATGACCAGCTAGAGTCATGGGCAGTATTGCAGAATGTTTGCTGGGGTAGCTGTGGGCACTAAAGCTATTCAGGAGTGGTCGGGATGATGTGCTTGGAGGAGGGTCCCACTCTTTATTTACCTGAGACACGTCTGCTGCTGCTGGCTACTCTGTTGAACACTTCCTGTATGGAGAGTACTTTCATTTTTATTGAGCACTTGCTGTGTGTCAGATGCCATTTTCAATTAACTGCATCCGCTTGTTTAAATCTCACAACCACCATTTAAGGTAGGTACTGTTGAATGCCTGCCACTGCCACTTACTGACTGCTCTTTTGGCAAAGTTACTTAACATCTCTGTGCCTTAGGCACCAGTTGCCAGCATCACTTGTAAGTCTGTGCTTTATTCTCAACTGTAGTATTTACACCGTCCTATTGCCCAGTGCTGTTGTAAGGGTGAAGAGAGTGGATGCACGTGAAGCATCACGAGCTCTGTAGATAATCTGACCCCCGCAGTGCCTCAGTGTGTGACGTAGGGCAACACTTCACCCCTCTGAGCCTGTGTCTTCATCTGTACGATGGTCATAAAGATACTGACAGGAGTGTTGTGAGGCTAAAAGGAGACAATGGCTCTCAGGCACCTGATGCTTTACACTGGTACATAGTAAATGCTCCATATGAATGGTAGCCGTACCGTCCCCATGGGAACTGGTTCTCACTCTTTTACATATAGATTAGATTATAGGATCGAGGGGTCCTGTTAGCAAGGCTGACCAGTGGCCACTCTCTGTTCTAACTTAGGGGAGAGAACGTTTTGATGAAAGGGAACATTTCAGGTTGGGGATAGAGAAAAGTTAAAAGATGATTATAAAAACCAAAGAAAATACAAGAAAACAAGTGTCACAGAAGCTCTTTGAGAAGCTGTGGATAAGGTTCTGCCAGCCTTTATACTTTAATTTTCATGGGATGGAATGAAAGCTCCCCCTACCACCTCCATATACACCCAGCTTTTATTTCCTGGTAAGATTATATTTCTGTCTCATCAGTTCAGGCTGCTAAAACAAAATACCGTGGACCTGGTGGCTTATAAACAACAGAAATTTTTTATCCTCGTTCTGGAGGCTGGAAGTCTAAGGTCAGAGTGGCAGCGTGGTCGGGCACTGGTGAGGGCCCTCTTCTGGGTTGTGGACATGCTGTGTCCTTACATGGAAGAAGGAACAAGGACATTCTCTGGGGTCCCTTATAAGGCCACTAATCCCATTCCTGAGGGCTCCACTCTCGGGAGGTAGTTACCTTCCAAAGGTGCGCCTCCTGATACCTTCCTCTTGGGGAGATTATGAATTGTTGAGGGGGGCGCAATGCAAACAGTCAGTCCATTGCAATAGCATTTTTTTGTTTTATTATTTATCATGGACAAGTTACAATTTCATTATTTGGGGAGGACTACCATGCTTAATTAGCATTCAGAATTTGTAGTTTATAACAAGGATTCTGTTTGGAGTGTGTTCATTTTTGTTACATTGTGGAGACTTTCTGAAAAAAACAACATGTTGCATTGATTATCAGTGAGGAACCAGAGGCAAGTGGTTGGTGGTACAGGAAATGAACCCAGTTGCCAGTTAATATAGCAGTTAAACTGATTGACATTCCTGTAATCTGTCTGAAGCATGCACCATTCATTTGGAGTTACGGTGATAGTCTTAATAAGTAGATGCTAAATCAAACTTTAAAAATGTCATTTAACTTGGAAAACACATGAACGTCTTTTAAAATATTTTGGGATCAATCCTGTCCTTTTAGCAGCCTCTGCTGTTATTCTCTCGCTGTTGGCTGGCCAAGCCTTTCCTTATTTGCTAAGTTCTGGTGTGAGCTTGTCTGACTGCTTAGCTGTTTGTCATTGCCCCTATTGTAAAGGTTCTTAAAGTATAGTCTTGGGGTCTCTGGGGGTCCCAAGGCCCTTTCAGGGGTTCTGTGAGGTCAAAACTACTTTCGTAATAATAACAAGGCGTTATTTACCTTTTTCACTCTTATTCTCTCATAAATGTACAGTGGAGTTTTCCAGAGGCTATAATGATGTATTTTGGTGTCACTCTCTGACAGCTAGTTATGTATGTGTTCCTGAGTGGGAACATTTTCTCAGTTTTAATTTCTGTTGCAGCCAGTGTCAATAGGTAGAGCCCACTTTAAAACAGTACCAACGTCTTTGGGGTCTTCTAATATTTTAAGGATGTAAAGGGTTCCCAAGACCAAAAAGTTTGAGAACCATTGCTCTATTGGGCAGAGCCCTCCACAGCAGGCCACCTCACAGGTCACTGGCCAGCCAGTGGAGGAGCCTCCCACGAGCCAGGTGACAGTCCTGGTCCGAGGTGCCCACCCTGGGCAAAGACCATTAAGGCTATTTCTCTCAGCAAGTGGACACTGGGCATGGCAGTCACCCTGACTTCCATGTCCCATACAGACTGCCAAGCCTGTTCCCTTTCTTTTACACCAGGGGACCTTTTATTTCTGTAGATGCAGTGTTTTCAGCTTGTCTTCCTTGAGACACGGCATCTTTTTTTGTGATACTTGTAATTTCAATTAACTCATAAGGAATTTGAAAACAGAAGGACCAGGGTTTAGTAGAGTTGAATCCCTTCTGGCAGCTATTCTGCAAGGGTTGTTTTCAGAATGAAAACAAATGAGGAATTGTGGAGTTAGCGACTTTCTTCCGAAATTGAGTAATACATTCATGAGATGAAAGGTTGGACATTGCAGTTTTTCTGGTGATTTTCGTTCTAGACCTTGAGAATTCTTCCGTTGTGTGACTCCATCCTGGTCTGCGTGGTAGAATTTTAATGGCACAGCTGCTCTTCCAGACCCTCCTCCTTTTTTCCTCCTTCCGCTCAGTGGTTTGCCATGAGACCATCCCTTCATCCTTTTTTTCAGGTCTGCAGTCCTTCCTTCGTCTGACAGATGCTAGAGTTGTAGACCACAGAGGAGGGCAGTGTTATGTGTCAGCTTCCATCTGATAAGAAGAAGGGATGGTTCAAGATCTCTACAAAGCTTCTGCTGTCTCTGATATCCTTCTTGGTGAAGCCTTGGATGCTCAAACCTGTGCTGAGGCCAACATTGAGGCACCCAGCACCCTGCATTTTTGTTGTTAATTTACAGGCCTGTCTTTGTCTAGACTAAAATGAGCTAAAATCTACATAGTAACTATATCTTACTCGTTTTCTCATTTATACTGGTTATTCAGTACCTGTTTAAAGAACATGTGTAGCTCATTAAATATTCGTTGATTGAATATATCAGTCATTCAGTGATGTCTTCCTCCAAGTAGGGGTCAGCCTGAGACTAGAGGAGCCCCTCAGAGTGACATATTTATTCAGCAGCTGGGGCCTCAGAGAAGGAAACTGCTGGTACCAGGACTCCACCTCCCCTCTCTTGACCTAAGCAGTTCTGCTCTGGCCGTAAACTTGCATACCTCACTCAGCCAAACAAGGGCCCTGCAGGTGGTGAGCTCACCTTTCTTGGAGAAGGCAGCTTGGTGACTTATGTTGCTAATCTGACGTGCCCCATGGAGCTCTCACCATCTTATACTGAGAAGTTATCACTATATTATTCCTCCCAGCTACATGTGGAACGCGTCTCAAAGGGAGTAGTAGGGTATATTTTTCTCCATGTAGTTACTTTACAAGTGTATTTTAGTGCTCCATTTACATTTGTGCCCTGAGTGCTGGTCCCGCTGGCATACCCTGGTTTTGGGTCGGTTCCAAGCAGTTAGAGCAGGGTACCCGGACGCACTGCAGTGTGTGTCTTTGTTTCTGTTTACCTGAGTTTCTTTCTGCAGGGACTCCCAGCGTGTCTGCTCGCAGCCTAGCACCAGTCACGTGAACAGTTGGGTCACAACACAGATGTAGAATGAACGAATGTGAGTGTATGTTGCTCGAGAGCATTGGTCTGCATCCCGGTTTTTGTTAGCACATCAGTGCAAGGAAGTTGATCTGATTAGCTGTGAGGCACCTTGGGGAGACCCTGAGGAGAAGAGAGAGACCATAAGGAGGAGGTCTGTAGTGGCTCTCATTCTAGATGGTTCCAGTAGGGAGGGAGCAGCTTCTAGAGCCTCTGCCATAGTATCTTGAGGGAGAGGAAGGAGTTTTTTGCATTTCTGTAGTTCTTTCCCATTTATAGTGGTTGGTTGGGCTCTCTCTCTCCATCTCCCACCTTTTGTCTCTCTTTTCTTTTCTGACCCTGGTTGCATTGTGTGTAGTTGTTGTCCTGTTAACTGAGGGGTAAATTCTAGGACCTGTGCAGAGGCAAATAGCTTTAGTAGTAGAGCTGGAACTTAAACTCTCTTCTCCTGACCCTCAACTTGGTTCTCCTCCGTTACTCCTGGACTAAAAGCCAGGCGGCAGAGCAGACCACTATGGTGCCCCCACCCCCGAGCCCGCATGCCAGGAGTGCCATTGACGCAGTGGGGAATGCTCTGACCACTGAATCATTTCCCTGGAGCTGGCTTTGTGAGTTAAGTTTGCTCCCCTTTGTTTAGTTGCTGGTGGCTTCTATATGGGTGATTTTTTCCAGAAGAATATGACTGTTCTTATTTGTTTTTAAGAGCCAGTGATTTCACCTTAGAAACATTGTGGACTTTTCCTGTTCTGGTGCCAAATTGTGGACTTTGATAAACAGAGAAGCTGTGTATTTTGTGTTTGCATTGGCTCTTAAAAAAACCCATCATCTTTGATAACATTTTTAAGCCATCCACAGGGCGTTTTTCAAGCCCCTTACAGTAAGAGGGAAGTTCCCCATAATAGTCCATTTATTGCATTATTAATTTCAGTTGAGTGCTATTTAATTATTGATGTTTTATTGAAGGCTGGTTTGGCCAACAGAAGCGAGTGGCTTGACTGGGAAGAGATCCTTTAGTCCCTAATGCTAGGCCCGAACATCAGGGCACTGTTACCTGCGAGCTCAGTGACTAGCTCTAAGAGTCAGTTGTAAGCTAGGGTTTTGCTGAAATCCTCCAGCTGTTTTCTTATGGTGAGATGTGAGAAGACTTTCGCCTCTAACTGGAGCTGTTTGATGGAGAAGTAGTTCCTCTTAAATGTTCTCTGGTGGTTTCATTTGGGTTTTAACATCATTCTAGCTCTTCTTCTTGGTCTAATGTCTGGTTTGGCTGCAGAGTAAAATTTCCCTTTCTGCCTCACTAGCATCTTTTACTGAGGTTGTAAATAGGTACCTTTGTTTTTTTTGTAACTAATTTTGAAATGAGGACTGTCAAAAAGTGCAGTGCTTCCCCTTGGTTGGCTTTACGATGCTTCTCCCAAATCATAAGAGTGTAGGTTTTAATGTTGATTCCATTCTTCCTGCCTCCCTCTTTATTATTTCTCTTAAATACCTTATTTGGTACATAGGAGCCATTCGTCATGTATTATTTCCTTTAGTTTGCTGCCTTGTCTTTATGTAACTTGCTTTGTGTTTCATAGACTTAGGCCGGTGTTTCTCAAACTTTAATGTGCATACACTTCACCTGGGAGTTTGTAAAAATGCTGGTTCTGAGTTAGTCGGTTTTGGGTCAGGCTCAGTATTGTGCATTTCTGACAAGCTCTCAAATGATGCCGCTCCTGCCAGTCCACAGACCACACTGAATAGCACGGATGAGACTTGTTGATCTACAGCCTTAAACGCACTCTCGTAGGTGTGCACACATACACTCCTTTGTTTAACTTGGCCTTCTTGTCCTCTACTGTGATTATTAAGTGTGAGGCAAGAATCACTGCCTTGGATTGGTTGACCATTCATTCTTTCAGTAAACATTATCTTGGGTCATACAATTGGGAGGCCTGATGGTTTTCTGAGGGCTGTTTCTGAGGCTTCTTTCTGCGGTATTTTCATCCCAGGTGTCCATCTGTGGTGGGCAGTGATTGGATGGTATTTAGATTCAGGTGGTCTCCATTGCATGCAGCTTGCTCCCATCCTGGGCCTCCATTCCCCATGTCTCACTTGGAAATCTTGTTTCCCAGTAATCATACTTCATAATCATTCAGGTGCCTACAGTTTGCATGTTTTTTAACATACTGAAAACTTACTGCAAATTATTGGACTGACTCAGCAGCACCATAAAAGTAATAATTTCACTAACCCCTTGTTTAGGCTCATAGTTGCAGAGTAGTTAATCATGATGTATTCCCGGGGCTTTCCCAGGAGCTGCATTTCCCATCTGACCTCTGAGGTCTCTCCCTGACCAGAGAGCCCCAGGCGTCACCAGTTGGGTGGCATGGGGAACACAGCCTCAGCAGCAGGGGCTGCTGTACCCTTCAGCAACCACGAAGGGCAAAGTCAGGCCCAGAATCTGCCCCCCAACTCTTTCTTTCCATCTCTCTTTCCACTTGGGTGTTGTATACTCTCCAGACACTGTTGATTTCTGGATTTGGATCCAATCTTTCCGTATTCCAATACACATGAGTAGGGCGATTCCTGTCATTCACTGTGCCAGTTCTGAGTAGAAGACAGTGTGACCAACCGGGGTTTGACCCTGAGGGACCTGGGTTTGGATCCTGGCTGTGTCGCTCTTTATTTGTCAGATTACTATACCTCTCTGTGCCTCAGTTTCTCCAAGCCTTGGTTTCTCCATTTGTAAAATGGGGATCATATACTGACCTCATAGACAGTGAGGATGAAAGGAATTAGTCTGTTTAAATGCCTGGTGGAGGGTCTGCTTCATGATAGGCCTCCAATTAATGCTCATTCTGGTGGTGATGAAGATGACCAGTGTCATCAAACGGAAAGGAAGGGAACCCAACCCGAGAGAATAGTTGGGGGAGATCTTGCTCATGGCAGGGGAGCAAGTGATGGACAGGAAGTGTGCATTAGCTCTCTGGACCCCGGTTCACTCTGAAGGGAGGAGAGAAGAAATCAGTCATCTTTATGCTTGTGTAAATGACAGCAGTGTGACCAAAGAAGATTTTGGAAACGAGAATGAGCACAGGAAGGTAGTGAGGGCAAGGAGGGAGGCTTGATGTTCTGAAAGGGAGGTGCGAAGATCTGGGATGTGCTTGGATGATCTAAAGGGAAAGTTTATTAGTGACAAAAGGACTTTGTTAGTAGGGTGGTTGTTCTTAATCACATTGCTGTTTTATCTTAGTAGATGGAGAACTGTTGGTATTTGAGAGAGAGGCCCAGTTTTTCCAGAGTCTGAAAAGGGATTTTTGTTGATGTTGTAGTATAAAAAGTGCTCTGTGATAGGGTACGGGGCTGCCAAAAGTGTGAAAGGAACAGGAAAGCGCCACACACATGAAATATAATGGATCTTTCATTCATTTTTGTGTTTTGTTTCCCCCAAATTGTTAAATAAAAGTTTATTTTGGTCACATGCTACAGCCAGAAGTAATTTTTAAGCCATCAGAGTGGTTGTGAGGAATTGGAATAGTATCAAGATAACTGTCTTTGCTTCATTGTGTGAAGTTCTATTCAAGTTTGGTTACTTGTCTTGTGATTTAAAATCTAAAAATAGGGCCATCCTGGTTGCATAGTGATTAAGCTCAGCACGCTCTGCTTTGGCGGCTGGGGTTTGTGGGTTCAGATCCCAGACGCAGACCTAGCACTGCTTGTGAAGCCATGGTGTGGCGGCATCCCACATAAAATAGACAAAGGTTGGCACAGATGTTAGCTCAGCGACAGTCTTCCTCACAAAAAAAAAGAAAAGAAAAGTAAAAAACAGACCATATATGTTGTCTCCTGAACTCTACCTGAATTGGAGCCTCCTTGGGGAGGCTGAGGTTTGCAGAAGACTTGAGTAGTGAATGCCCGAAGAGCTGGAGTTTCGCGATAGCGTTTCATCAAGTGTTGTTCTTTTTCCGTTACCTGAGAAATCTACTTGATACACCCGATTTTTGTTACCTGGAAATGAAGGTGTAACTCTTTATTTGTGGGCCTCAGCAACTTTCTATGGATTATGGGATAATGTCTCTTCCACTTTGCAGCCAAACGTAGAGTCTTCTGCTCCTTTGCCCTCCTTTCCTGCTGCCTGAAGGAGCAGGAGCAACTTGAAAGCATCTTGCTGTTTCTCATCTCCCCGCCTTTCCCCGTAGCACATGAGCGCCTGCTCGTCCTTCTGGACTGAGCTCAGATGTCACACCGCCTTTCCTAACTTCTCTGTCCTTGTTCATGCCTGGCCCACACCTGTGGTGCTCCGTGGGTCCTGCTCATGGCTGTGGATGCCTTCTGTGGTCTCAGCTTCCATAGTACAGCACCATGCTTGTCACATGATGGGCCCTGCAGAAATAGTGCTGAATGAATAAATACATCTAGTTGTCTGTGATAGAGTTTCGTTGTATCCATACGATCAGCAAAAATATTAATCTTTTGGTATTGTGACATTGGCTGTAAACCTTTCTGCTTCAGAAAGGGAAATACCATGTCATAGTGTTTGTAAAAATTTTAATAGTCATGCCTGTTTATTGTAGAAATAAGGAAGGAAATCAAAATCACCTGTAATCCCATCATCTCAAGACAAAGTTGACATTTTGATGTATAATTCTTTGGAAAATCACCTTTTAAGTAATCCAGTTGGTTTGGATGGGGGGAAGTGCTTAAGGAGGTGAGGGGTAGATAGAAAGATAGTCTAAAGTAGATGTATAATTATAATTTCCCCTTGAGGTTTGAGAGCCACTTGTGCAGAACAGAGCATGACATGGTTTGGCCTCCACACAAAAGGTCAGTGTGAAAGGTGGAACTGTTTGGTGCTAGAATCTCTCTGAATGTTGTTATTGCCAGTTTTCTCTGTTACGTGGATACATTTTTCTTAGACAGTTCATCACTTTATTATTTCTCCTTTTTAAAAAACATTTCTCTCTAGCCACTATAGACTTCTTAGATTTTTATATAAAATATTTTCTAAAGTATTTTTTTATAAAAATGAAATGAAAATTATGCCTGTTGTACTGTGTGTGCCTTCAAATTGTGGACGACCATTGGCGTGTTAATGGACTGCTCCTTCCAGGTGGGGAAATGAATAAAGATCCCCCTTTTACTTGAAAGAAGTGATAGGAGAAGTAGAAAGTAAATTTAAGGTATGGTTAACTAGGGAAGCAGGCTTTTTATTCTACTCTCAGCCATTTAGAAGCTGTTTTTTAGTGAGAAAAAGAAAGTTCTTTTGCATTCTGGAATACTTCCAAAAGCATTGCTATTGATGCTGAATTCCATTTTGGATTTGGAATTATGAAATTTTTTAAGTGTTGAAATAAAAACTAGTTGTTCTTTGTATTATCGTTTATTTGAGAGTACAAATAATGATAAATACACTAAACTACAGTTACTTAATCACAGAAACTAGTATAAAAGTGGTTATTTAATTTGGAATGGGATTGAATGTTCAGAAAATGCAGGTGGCATGGATGGGTTTATGGACAGAATTAGGTTTCCTTTCTCAGCAGGCGTTGAGGGAGCTAGAGTGTTTTTATTAAACCCACTGCCGGAGGTGGGGGCGGGTGTAGGCCTGTGCTGGTCCAAGAATTGGGTGTGCTCGCTGAAAGCACCTTAAAAATGCAGAGCAGAAGCAGGAAGTTTCAGAAGAAGCTCTGACAAATAAGATTGTTTCATCAAAGTTGAATGAAAAATCCCAGATACTGGTTCTGAAATTTTTGCTCTATGACCCAAAACGAAGTAAACAGAGAAGCCTCGAAGGGAGGCCTGTGCTCTTGTATTTGACATAGTAGCCACAGCAGTATCTTCTGTTTTCTGTGTAAGCCTTACAGTGTAGTGTATGCCATCACAGGGTCTTGGGATTTAGTGATTCTGAGGTGGCTTGACCTAGACGTGGGGCCACAGAAGTCTGCAGGGACCCACTCTGTGTTTCTGGCTTTGGGCCTCAGTCTTCCCACTCTCCAGCCTGTGTGGATATGGTCCAAGTGGTGATAGGGGCCCTCCTTGCCCATTCCCCTCAAAATAGCCACACCTCTCATCTCATTCATTCCTAATGAAAACATCATTCCCCTCTTCATTAACACTGGAACCCACCACGCTAACATCAGCTGCCATTGAATGTGTGCCTGCTGGGTTTTAGCCCTTCTTCATATATTCTCTGTGTTCTTTACATCGATCTGCTGGGAAGTAGTCTTACCCTTGCTTTGCACCTTGGGAGAGTGAGCATTAGAAAGGCTTGTCTGACCAACATCATAACTAAAAAATGGCAGAGGCAGGTTTTGAACCCAGATCTTTCTGATGCCAGAGCCCATTTTGGCACACTCTACCAAGCTACTGCTAAGAAAAAAGATGGGCGTAGAAGTGGAAGTGGGTTTGTTTGACCTTTGGGCACACTGCACCCATTAGGACTGTAGAATTGGAGTCTGTATTCTTCACAGCTTCATGTATAGGTGTCAATTTGATACACTTTTATAGGCTCAAGAAGGATTATATGTAAAGACAGGCAGAATTCCCAGAAGATGACAAAAAATAAACCGTGGATTTATTTGATAAAACCCTGTATTCTCCCACCTCCCCTATATGGACATATATACCCATTTAATGTGGGAATGGAAACGGTGATCCATCATAAAGCTTACCTACAGGACATATGCCCTTTGGAAATATAAATCTTAAATGCTCAGAAAGGCCTCACATCAGACTAATAAGTTCTCTTTAATTTGATTCTGACATGGTTTGAGTACCTCCTGTATGCCAGGTCTGTGGTAGATGCTGAGAAGAAGGGTAATGGAATGAATTAGATACGATTTCTGCTGAAAAGGTGTTCCCAGGTGAATGGGGACTAGGGGGAAGGTACAGAGTTAACTGTGATACAGCATACACTGTGGTCTGTGCTGTGGTGATAGTTCAGAATGCTCTGGAAGCATGAGTGACGCCACAACTCCTTCCAACTGGAGAGACCTTAGAAGGTCCTTTCTGACCTAGACCATGAAGGATAGATAAGTAGAGCATTCCAGGCAGAGGACACTGTTTGAGCAAAGACCCAAACTGGGAAAGTACAGAGTGGAATGGTGACTTCCATTAGTTGGGTAGTAGGGGTCAGCATCCCCATGGTAGTGATGTTGGCTTTATTTCATGCCTCTTCAGTTTGATTTGATGAAGTGATCAATCTCTCTCTCTGTCTTTCTCTGTTAAATGCCTTTTATGTTTTGTGTTTTGTTGGGATGTGTGTGGGAGAGATTCATTTCCAGCTGGGTCCAGCTGCAATGAAAATGTCCTCTTTGACAAATTGAGGAATTAGATTACAGCCATTTCTCCCTGAAAGCCAGGGCACTAGCTGTAACATGAGACATCCTCCCTTTGCGGGCAAGACAGGAGGGAAGTGGTGATTTAGGGCTGCTGGGTCTGTTGACTTGAAAATTATTTGAAAAAATAGGACTGTGTTGCTCCAGTTGATTAATAAATATGGCTCCTCACTGAGCCACATAGGTTTTCTCCAAGGAGAATTTAGGATGGCGCTATCTGAGACTGCCCCAGTGGAGAAGGACAGCATATGCTAGGCGGTTAAAACGTTTTTATTGAAAGAATTAATGCATTTATGTGATTTTCTATTTGGTTCCTATTTCAGAGCTCTTCTTTTTTCTTAAAATGTAAAGGACTCTCAACTTCTTCAAGTTTGAAAACACTGGAGTTTTTAGTTAGCTACCCATTTAATGTGAGCCAGTAACATTTGCATAGGAGATCTGGTGTCAGGAGACCAGTGTCACTTGTAGAACTTGGAGCGAGTTGCATAGCCATCTACCCAGGCCACTCTCTACATCTGTAAGATGATGGATTTGGACCTGCTGACCTCCAAGGACTTCTTACACAGTAGCCCCTCGGAAGTGGAGTGAATAAATCCGAGGTCCTGGATCCTTACTCTGCACTTGGCAATGTAGCAGCTCTGCGAGTTCTCACGGTCTTAAGTGGAAGGAGCCAAGTCAAAGCTGTGAGGTTCTGTAGTGTCCTCAGCAAGGTAGCTTCCCATCCACGTTGCACCGCAGCTGAATGCCATATTTTGAGAGATGCGACAGAGGCCAGCATGGTAACAGAGCTGGAAGTCATTTTGTAGAAGTGGCTCAGGGAACTGTTGTGTCACCCAGAAAACAAGCAGCGATGGTGGGAATGGGGACCGACGCTAGCCTTCAGACAGTTGGAGAGCTCACACGCCCTACGTCTTGAGCTCAGTGTGAGGAAGAGGCACCCACCTTCTGGGCTGAATTGAAATGAGGTGTCTCAGAGAGCACTGGGGCCTCAAGGGGATGGTTTAAGCTGATGCCATAGTCCAGCTATTAGACATCTGGTCAAGGAAAGTATTGCCCTGGATTTCCAGGTAGTCTAGGAGGCCTTGCCTCTTTCGACTGTTACAAGTCTATTCTGAGCCATAACTAATTAATTGGGTTTTTACAGCTTTAGTCTTAATACTGCCCATCTCCCTCTTGGAAATAATTTGGTACAAGGTGTGGTTTGTGCCCAGGGCCTACCACAGAGGGCAGATGCTTAGAACTTCTTGCTTTTGTTTGGCAAAATTACACATATTTCTTTGTCCTCTCTTATTCCAAAAATTAATACAGGTTCATTGTAACAAGAATGATATAAAGGTTAAGTCACCGTGTGTTCACTACTTTGAAGACTGTTAGCCACTGTGTTACATGGCACAATAGATAAGACCACACAGCTTTGATCTGGTGGTCCTGGTTTTGAATCTCTGCTCTACCACCACTTACTAATTGTGTGAACTTGGTCACGGTCCTTTTTGTTACCATGTGTCTTGGTCATTTCCCTATCTGTCATAGTACCCATCTCAGATGGTAGTTGTGACAATAGATGAGAAATGCATGTAACACACTTAGCACAGTGACTGGCGCATAGTTGAATGCTCCGTAAATACTAACCAGCTACACTGGGGATGGTAGAAGTAGAATTAGCAGAAGGTAATAAACCTCTAAATGTGTATATATATATATAATTTTTTTTTTTTACAAAAGTAAAATCCTTTTAAATAATCTGTTTTAAAACCTGCCATTTCCCCTTAACATTATATTGAGCATTTCTCTATGTCATTAGTCTCTCGAACCATAATTTTTTATAACAGCTTTATTGAGATATAATTCACATAACCATGCTGCAGCCATTTAAAGTATACACTTCAGTGGTTTTTAGTATATTGAGTTGTGCAATCAATTTTAGAACATTTTAATCACCCCAGAAAAAGCCATGTACCCATGAGCAGTCACTCCCCATTTACCGCCAACCCTCCCAGTCTTCCCAACTAATCTACTTTCTGTCTCTATGGGTTTGCTTATTCTAGACATTTCTGAACTCTACTTTTTTTTTTTAATCTTGCTTAGGAAGATTGGCCCTGAGCTAACATCTGTTGCCAAGTCTTCCTCTTTTGCTTGAGGAAGATTGTCGCTGAGCTAACATCTATACCAGTCTTCCTCTATTTTATATGTGGGATGCCACCACAGCATGGCTTGATGAGAATTCATTTGGCGGCCCAGAATTCGAACTGGCAAACCCTGGCCTGCCAAAGCAGAGCACAGGAACTTAACCAGTATGCCACCGGGCAGCCCCCCAAACTATGCTTTTTAATGGCTGCACAGTATTCTGTTGTGTGGATGTACCTGATTTAGCAGCCA